CACTTTTTTGAAGTCATTATAAGCGGTTTCATATTGTCTTGCAAATTTTTAAGTGTAATTATTAATAATTGCGGCAATAGTTGCTAATTTGTTTAAAGAAAATTTAAACACACATGACAGTCAAAAAAAAGTATTGTGGCTTTCAAATTTGAACCTATGTAATTATTAATATTCGAGGAGCATAAAATTACATGAATTCGATGAGAAACTACTGTTTATGATTTGCAGATCAAGGAAAATTTGAAATGGGCATTATTTTTTTGGTGAATGACAATTTTCTCGAAAGCATAATTGGCTACAATCTCGATTACAAGTTTCTGAACTCGATAAAACATTATTTCATTTTTATTAACAAATAAATCAAATTAAAATAAAATAATTAATTACACAAAAACCGTTAGCGATAACAAAAATTTACTTGAAATAAAATTTAAAGAAAGCTCTTACCTTTATGACAAAATAAGAACTGCATTTGTAAGGTCTCCTGTAAAAAATATAAGCACGTTTACTTAGGCTAGGGGTATTTTTTCTATTTCTATAAATGTATGTGTATTTCTATTACTAAGTATTAGTGATATGTGTATAGAAGTACTAGCATCCAAATTGCATTTCAATTATTTTAGCGTTATTTTGACCCCTAGAGAATATGTGGTAGTTCCATGTACACTTAATACTGACAAGCCCATACTAAAAAGTTAATATGAATATATTAATTGCCTAATCATTTTGACTGTTAATTTAAACCGTATATCAATTACGCTAGATCGGTGCAGGTAAGTTAGAAACTCTTGAGCGCACATTTCGCCAATAGAAATGGACGTAAATATACGACAAATGTAGGTTTCTGGTTCAATAGAGAGTGCCTGCTATATTGCTTTTTACAAAGTAATCGTTAAAGAACTCCTTAGGTCACAATAGACAACTCGGATATTTTTAAAAAACGTAGCAACTAATAATTATTATTCATAATAGAACAGAGCCTCTTCGCGTAAAGAAATTGTAATAAAATCAGTGATCCAATCTTCCAAATATCCGAAACACCTTTTTCAGATGTTTCAGAAGCGATTAATTTAACCTCAAAAAGCGTAATTTCAATTTTTAATGTTAAACCCATTTTATTGTTTATTGACATATTATGCTGACCTATTTAAAATATAATTACTTGAATAACATTTATTATGAAATACTTTTAACAAATCTAAAATATATTTGGTACATATAACGAATTTTGAAATTTAAAGTGACTATTCTGAAATTAATTCGACACTTTCTGAAATACATCCGAAGTCCGAATTAAGCTTTTTGAAATAAAATTAAATACATAATGTAAAATATTAATCGGTGTTGCATATACTAAAGTTTCTAAATGCTCCCAAAAGAAATAATCTAGGGAATTTAAATCCAGTTTGGTTGGGTACAAAAATCACCCATCTTTCGAATTTCAGCAAAATTTAATAAGTCCGGACAATTCAAAATTCGAACTCCAAAATGGCCCTAGGGTCAACATTAACCAGAATGAGCCCCACAACTCTTTGAAGAAGGCCACCACCTATATAGAAATGGTTTTCCAAAATCCAATTCGTCCAAATCTGGCGCGCAATTCACTACAGAACCCTGCTGAGCCAGCGTCGAGAATGATCGAACGTCAGCCCAAGAACATATAGCTGTCATACGTTTCATTTTTGATTACCATTGTTAATTAATCCTAAAATTGCAATAGATCCTCCAATTTTTAATAAAGTCAAATTCGAGTTAAAAACAATTAAATCCCATTGCTCCCATTGCTCACGTAGCACACCTGCCACCCCAGCTTAGTACACCCTGTGGCGAAGCTCCTGAAGCTTCCACACTAAGCTCCTAAAGCTTCCAAACAAACACTCTAAGGAGGATTCACCCTCTTAAACTTTAGTGCCCAAGCCCAGCACGCCATAGACAGTGATAACAAAGATACAGAGTATCATACTCGACCGTGCAGAAGTGATAAGTGCAGAAAAACATAGATTCAGTTGAAAACCTCATAAAGCAAGCACAGAAAACTAAATGAAAGCATATAATAGAGCGTATTCCATTATTCTAAGGCCAAACAATCTCGTCATCAATGGAGAAAAAGCGACAGCATCGGCGTCATCTAACCCAAGCGTGCGTTCAGGTTGGCGTGAACTGATGATAACCCCTTCGCAGGTGAACAGGCGACTAACCTCCCACATCCGCAGGGGAAAATGGAGACCTCAGAAACTGTCACTCAATCTGATATAAATATGAGCATGACAACATCTATACTGATAAATTACCGTCAGCAAGGCATATGTCATTTTTGGTAAAGTTTGTAAACTGAGGCATTGTAAATAAATTACCAATTCATGAAATAAGTTGTGACTAAATCACTAGACAGCAAAAAGTGAAAATGTCAGTGTTAATTTAAGATGTCAAAATAAATAAAACTATTAATTATCGGAGCCTTCTTCTTCAAGTATAATAATTTTAATTTCAAAACATGTTTTATTTGTCGCCGTCTTTTCCTTTGTACTTTATTCGAAAATGGCTCTTCCAAGCAAAATTTTAAAGGAGTTACATTTTTCATTTTTTTTAAACTTTAAAGATTTGTCCACAAAGCTTGAAAAATTCAGTGGCGTACTATCATTTTCTTCAATAAATATACTATTATATACCCTTATCTACGCCCATGACGATATAACAAAATATTTGATAGGTCAGAAATTAAGCATACTAGGAACTACCAAATTTCAATAAATCATCTGTTCCGGTTTCTGTTGTCATAAAAAAAAGAGGAAAACTTCAGCTATTGTTGCAAAAATCCATACCGTAAATTTTATGACTAGATTATTTTTTTTTGATAAAATTAATCTGTCCTTTTGAATAAGATATCACATTCCGAGATATTAAAAAATAGAAGACATACATTTTCCTATACACGTGTTTTGTAGAATAAAAAATAATCATTTTTTTATTTACTAGTCTTAATTTAAATATTGACAGATCATAAAATAGTTGCAATTCATACTTATCGACGTTTTTATGAAAGTTATTCGTCTATTTCGGGTATTTTACGTCAACATATCGAATTATTCAATAATCTAGAATTGCAATTATTGTCATGGAACAAAGCAATTCCATGTCAAATCACTATAGGAAAGTACGTAAGATAGATACGACCATTACGCTACGAAAAGTAGATTAGATTATCAATAGAAAGCATTAGGATTTAGTCACAAAATGTGGAGCAAGAAAGGAATTGTTTGTTTTAATCGACGACCACGTTTATTAAACCCTTACTCGTATTGAACACAAACAAATTCTACCAGATTTTCACTGGACTATTTCTAAAATTAAGTCTTTAGTTGATATTAGAATGTTATCGCTATTTAGTAAAAAAATATAGACCAGTAACAATCTTTTTTTAATAGAAATACTCTAGGTACGGTAATTAAGGGATATTAAAAATATCCCAAAACTTTGGGTGATTTTCAAAGGGCTGTAACTTGGAAAGAAATGGTCGTAGAGAGAATTAAAAATAAGGAAATTGAAACTTTAGGTGTCTAGTTTTCAGATCTGCAGTTTAAAATTTTTTAGCGTTAGCAGTTTTTGAGTAATCATAAGAAAATCAACGGAAAAAAAATTGTAATTTTTTGCTTTTTTCAAAATGGCCTATGTACTTCAAACATTTTTTTTTGGTAATTTCATCATAAAGTTCTTTTAGATCATTTAATTCTCTTCAATTTGAGCGGTTCCGGAGCCTTGCACGATTATTTGTCGCTGAGTTATCGTCCATCAAAGCAAAAAAATCATTTTTGACTTTGGCAATCAATTACTCGGGAAATAATGGTCGTACAGAAATCCAAGCAGGGGTTTGGAAACTGCAAAGTATTATCTACAAGTCTTAATTATGGGTTTTTGATAAAAAAAAAAAAAATTTCAGTGAAAATGTTGGTTAGAAAAAATATAAAAAATTGCATAATTAGGGATATTTGAATAACTTGGCATAATTTTACAAATAATGAATAAACTACGGATATCGACTGTAACTTTTCAACCTCACAGTGTCTTAAAGAAACCCTGATAATTTCAAAACGCTGCGATTTTTTAAATTTGTCGTCTTGCTGAAAATCAATGTAATAAGTAATTTTTCACTTTTTATTCATTTTTTTAAGTTAAAAATGTTTTTTTAGCAATAATCCATATTTTCTTGATCAAAAACGTTCATGATTCTAAATAAAAATGAAAAAAAAAATAAAATTTCAAAATGAAAAGTAGTTTCTTTCAATAAAAATAAACTTACTCAGATCAAGATACGTCAGTCATCAGCTTCCTTAAAAACTAACGACCCTTCAGAAAAAAATTGTTATACCATTTTTTTATTTAAGATACTTGAAATTTGGCACAGGAATATTTTTAGGATAAAGTCTCATATAGCATTCTAAACTTAGACGTCAGTAAGAATGTCTGAAACAGTCCATTTTCCGTCAAGAAAACAATCATTTAAGTATGGCCCATTAATTTCTGTACATCCTGTACATTCAGTAATTGATGCGTTAGAATATGGTTGTAAGTCTATGTAAGTACTAGTTGAAAGAAAGTCTCAATAGATTGATGGAATAAACCTGCGTGATGGAGAAAATTTCTTGTAGAAGAAATCTAACCATACACGAACAACTTTCCTAAGGCACACTGAGGCCGGTTTTTATAATGTAGGTTTAAACTTGAAATTGGCGTTTAAATTGTGACCTTGAAAAATTGAACGTTTTATAAGCTTAGTTAATTAGTTGACTAGCGTTTAAACTGGTGAGTAGGATTTAAACTTTAACCGCTACAAAAGCTCCGTGTTGAAATTAAACGCCACTATGGAAAACATTTTGTACCCATATAGCACAGTTTTTTTGGTGGGGTTAATCTGTGCCTATAGATCCTAATTTTATCATAGACCTGTCTAGAATTGTACAGAAAATACCATAAAATGAGGAAGAGAGCATAGCCTTATAGAAATGGAAATTAACAATGTAGTGGATGTAGATGTTTTCGAAATGTTTGACGATATATTATCTGATGAGGATGAAGACATCATCAAAGTAATACTTGAGGCCCCCAGACAGCCAAGAAATTTTAGAATAAGACCCAGTCATATATGGAGTGTTGGAGTGAGGGTGAATTTATTAACAATTTATTCCAAAGTTTCAATGCGTGTATTGCTAGAACAGATTCAGCGTTTGTTATTTGTTATTTGTTAATACGTTTATACGTACCATCTTGGTACGTACCTACTGAAGTGAAGTTACGGCTTATGACAAGCCGGTGTGCCAAATTTGTTTATAAGACGTTTCTCTAATATTTAGTTTAATCCGAAATTTAAACTCTGGTTTAAACTAAGGATTAATCTTAAGTTTAAACGGTTATTATACAACCCGGCCTGAATAATAAATCTAAAGTTTAACATTTATTTCTGCATGATTTTATGGTACAAATGCTACGTTATTTACTTTGAAAAGTCCACTTCTTATCAAAAAACACAAAGGAAAAATAAAACGTTAATGTAAACGGTGTAAATTGAATCAGATTCATATTATACGGAGGCTAACTTTGGCATTTAGAAACACATCATAGGTTTCTTTTTTCAAACTCGGTCATGAAAACCGAATTATTTTTTTTTTTAGTAATATGTATTCATATTCCGCTGCCGCAAGTGCATACGGATTTAGGAGCTACGTCATGCATTGTTGTCAAATCTCATCTTTCTTGTTTCATATACCACGTGTCCCATTTTTATCGATGTGAATATTTCGTGTGTCCAAAAATTACCTACTATCGAAATAAATGAAATAGACCTCTGAGTTTGGAAACCGATATTAAGAAAATGCAGGGGCAAAAAAATTTGATTTTTGGACCATAGCCTCACTATTACTCTATTGTGTGCTAAAATTTAAGTTAGTTTCGTTATCCGTTTAGTTATTAATGAAAATGTTGAAAAAATCACGGTTTTCTGTCTACAAAATTGATACCTCTCTATTTAACTCGTCGTAATTTTTTTGTTAATTGATAAAAAAAATCCAAATTTTTAGTGACGATAAGTCGAACTATTGTCTTTAGTACTGTGAAGGTCATTTGTCTCAAAAGCTCTTCTTTTTTGTATTTTTAAGCAAAACAGAAAGAAGGGAGTGCTATCTCCGTAAATATTGGATTCTTTAAAAAAACAGTGAGGCTATATATGGTCCAAATTTCAATTTTTTTTGCCCCTACGTTTTCTTAATATCATTTTCCAAATTCAGGGGTTTATTTCATTTATTTCGATCTATGAAAGTTGTTCAGTTCATTGGGTGAAAGCGGTTGCTGACCTTGAATTTGACCTTATCCTAACCTAAAGGTCAATCGAAGGTAAACCTCATAATTTTAAATGGGACCCTCTATTTTACATCCGGATGTCATCTCAACTTTGACCTTGTGGTCTAAGTCAAGGTCACAGCGAGTTCAAATGATTTGTCACCCCTGAAGTAACCTCGAAATAAGATGTTTGCACCCAAAGTCGACGGGATTTTCATCAACGCACTCAGTCATGACATCGATTTAACCTTGATCTTGTCCTTTAAGGTCATTTGGAGTTCTACTAAATAAAAAATCAACCTTGATGACCTCTACAGATGTTAAGGATGTTCATTTGAAGATCAATTCAATTTTATCGCTTTTCCAGAATCTACTTTCAGAAATACAGGTACCGATATAAAAAGAAACAAAGTAAACTTCGAATGATATTCAAAATTAAATCTTAGATCACCGATTCATATTACCGAATATTAACAATATTTGTAGAGGTCATCAAGGTCGATTTCTCAACCTTCAAATGACCTTGAAAGTAGAGGTATATCAAATTCAAAGTTATGATTGAGTAACTTGATAAAAATCCCATCGACTCTGGGGGCAAACAGTTTATACCGAGGTCGCTTCAAGGGTGATGAATCATTTCAACTTGCTGTGACCTTGACCTTTACCGTAAGATTAAAGTTGAGATCACATCCGGATGTAAATTTTTTACCGAATCCATTCCTAGGGTAAAAAATATAGGATCCCGTTTAAAATTATGCAGTTGACCTTCGATTGACCTTCAAGATGAATGTCAAATTCACGCTCAGCAACCGCTCCCCCCCCCCCCCCCCAATGAACTGAATAACTTTTTTTGATGGGAGACTTCACTGACGAGATATTCACGTGTATCTTAGTAAATACTTAGGTATTATTAAAAATTTTAAATATTTTAAAGAATATTTCAAATCTATCATATTATTAAATATTTGTCGCAAAACCACACAAATATGTTTGTAAAAAATTATTATCCATTATAATTTCGTTTTCTACGACTCTGTCAGTTTTTTACAATTGGTTTAAAAATGTAACAATAGGCAACACTGATAGCCGCATTCGGAAGCAGTTCAGTGACAGCGTAGAGAAGGATTTATGTGTAGTTTAAGAAACGATTCTAACTTACAACTAACTTATGTCTTTTGCTAAAACATAACTATAGTTTTCTGAAGACGGTTGATAAATTCTGAAATATAATTTAAGATTTAAATTAGACTTTAAATTATGTTTTCTAAAATTAAACTGACCGTTTGTAAATTACATCTGGAAAAAGTGTGGAAATTTTTGGTGCTGCTACGGGATTAACCAATCTTGACAGATATCTGAGACGTTCCAATCAAATATGCGACATTTAAATCATTATTTTTAATTATTGTACAAATCTAGGTTAAATATGAAAAATATTGAATAATTCAGTTCGTCTGCATTCCTCAACTATTTAACCGTACTGGCGCCAAGTAATAATCACTTCAGTCAATATAATCTCTTTATTGCGGGCCATCCGTCTTATTTCCGGGCACATTTTATCCCAAATCTTTACTTTGTTGGACGGTATGTAAGCCATCGATGAACTGGATGCAGAAGAATGACCTTGTCCGAATAAACCTGTCCAAGGTCAAGCGTATAAATTCCTTGAGGGAAAAGTTGAAGAAATGGTATACATCACCTTTCTCTTTACTATAGTTGGGGATAATGTTAAGTTATTTTGTTTCACCGACTGCGGTAAACAAATATTCGTGGAAATATAAATTTAAGAGTCAGTTCCTTACTTTGGGCAAAAATGTAGTACGAACGAAGTTTTGGAAAGTGAAGCACTTTTCTAAAGTAGTAGATACACTATGCTTTCTCATTTTTTATTAATATTTGTAAATAAACAGTTTTTTATATTCTTACTACATTATTAGAAAAATCTGAAATAGTTTGCGAAGCATGTGAATAAAAAGTGAGCAAAAAAATATTCGATAATGCAAAAGTGAGTTTGTAACTTTATATCAAACAATATTTTTCCAAAACTGCTTCAAGTTATCGTTAAAACTGGTGAAATGAGTAAAAATGTTGACATTTACTATAAATTAATTTTACGATTATAGTGGTAGTATAGTAGATTTTAATAATTAATTTTAATAGCTAAGTACTCATAGAAACCAAGTAATTATGGAAATATTTTTGTCTCAAATTGTGTTTTAATAACAGTGAAATTACTGGTTAATATAATAATTATTTGTTTAACTATGTAGTAAAGTACAAGATTTAATGCCGAGGCGCAGCCGAGTCTATTAAAGCAGCGAAGACAATAAATCTACTTTACTGCCAAGTTAAACACATACTTTTTCTGCCGATCAATTTTAATTTTATCATAATAGCAAACAAAGCTATTTATTTTATATTGTTAAAATTATATGATTTTTCTTTCATGAATAATAATTTCATCAGGTTGTCTGTAGTTGCTACGAAGCGAGCGTTATTAAGTAAAAACTTAGGTACACAGTAATTGCCGATTTAAGTCCATAAAAATAACTATTTATTATTTGAGATGGAAGAATTAAGTCCGCCAGAAAATATTGAATCGGCGAAACAAATATTGCCAGAAAAATCGAAGAAGATATATCAGCAAACATAAAAAATTTATTGGGAATAACTTGTCTTTTTCAGGAAATGTATATTTTGGTATATTTTTCTGAATTAAACAAAAGTATGAAATCTTCTTCATTATGGTCAATATGTCAGGGTGTCGCAGCACGAACTGGCGATTCAGGGTAAGCATGAAAATGTACCAAAATATTGACGATGTTACCTTCACCTAAAGTTATCGGCTTTGGCAAAATTCTATGTGCAGAAATTAGACCATGTCCTAATTGATTTCTTAAGATTCTTCGTAAAATGTGTCTACTCATTGGTGGTAAATGAGGTTATCTCTCATTAAATACCCTGCAAGTCCTATTTATTATCTTGTGACATTCTCCATGAATAAATAACAAATTTAGAATAAACGTTAACGTTTTCCATTCTTTAGAAATAAATAATACTCAAATAAACATTCTCTGTATGTGTTAAATTGACAACCATAAACTGGTGACAGATTAGGTGCTTGTTTTGAAGTTCCACCAAAAATTTCACAGCCATCCTCGCAAGAAATTATGCGATATCCGTTGACTGCACGAAAAACAGTAAATATCTTAAAAACCAAAAAAAGATAGGTATAGGGAACCATTATACCATTCGAAAGAGAAAATAATTGTTCATCAGGTTGCGCAAAATATACAGGGGTTCCCCTTAAAAAAAATAAGTAAAGGTTAAGGTTTAAAGTTGACAAAATTCGGCATTAAATTTCTACCACTCTGTATGAAATTAAGTCATTTTGAAATTATGGCAGGGAAGTTTAGAGTTTTAGTTACGTCCCCTATAAATTTTATTGTTCTAACTTTATTATTGTAAACAAAGAGTTTATATTAAGTATATGAAGTATGTATAACCTGATATGTTAAAAGATTGGATGATTATATTACTGATACTAATACTATGTTGGTTTCCATATGAAATTTCTCTTTCGTTATTTTAAATAAAAATACGTTTCGTTGACTTTTAAGTTACAGTTACAGGCTATTATCAATTATTCTCATAGCGAGTGATTTCTAAAGTAAGACACGAATTTGTTGGAAATAATGAAAGTACTTCGCTACAAATGTATGTTATGAGGAAGATATTAACCCAGCTAGTGTTC